CGCCGCTATTCAACGTAACTATACTTCATATTTATATTATTAATGCAACAGTTTACTTTAGATGTATGGATGTTTGTTGCCTAAACACCTGAACAAATTTGGTAAGATACAGAGGATAATCTGGATAAATACAGAGGCTGCTTTAGTTTTTTTAATTTTCAAAAGAAGTTCCGGGTAAAAGCTAGTTATACATATATTTACTTCAAAACTACACTTACAATATCACTAAAATGACTAAATAATACTACTTTTATGCAAAAGGTGCGGAATACATCAAGTAACCGGTCATTACTCTTTTTAGTAACGGTGTGATTGGCTTCAACGATAGTTATTAGTAAAAATCTATCCATTTTTGATATAATGAGACATTTATTGGCATGTGTTACAGATTATTACTAACAAATAATAAGACGTTTTTGTTTAATTTATGTGGATCTCGAGAAATGGTAGGAACCTTAACATTTGGAAATTCTTGCAATTATCAAGGTTCTTAAAGGGGCCCCCCTTTCTTCCCCCCTTGTCTTCTATCTTCGCCCACGTGTAAGGTTTATCTGAAATTGCTTTGTCATTGAGTTGAAAATTTCCATCAATTCGCATGTACTACGGAGGAATCGTTACGAAATCTCTGAAGTGTGCTAATCTTATCTTATTAATTCGATGCACTCCCTTTGTGCGTGATTGTTATCAGGACCTTATCGGGCATATCTTCAGACGTCGCTATAGACGGAGCACTGCTTGTAGGGGATATCTGGTAATGCTGATAGTAGATAGCGTCTGATATCGATTTTATTATCCCCTCTGTGAGGATCTTTTGTCTTTGTTAAATTACTAGATTAAAAAGTTCGTTACGACTTTTTGCAATATTTTGTTTCAAACAAAATTGTTTTACAATAGACAAATTGAATATCATACTTCATACTAATGTTATAAATGCGAAAGTTTAGATGGATGGATGTTTGTTAGAGTTTGTAGCCTAAACGGCTGAACGGATTTCGATGAAATTTGGTATAGGATGTAGGGGATAGTCTGGAAAAACATAGAGGCTACTCACTTTTGTTTTTTTTTTAATTCCACGCGGACGGAGTCACTGGCGAAAGGAAGTTTTCTATAATTGTCAAATTTTAAGATTTTCTCCCGTAAAATCCCTTTCTTACAAACTATATACTGTTGGTTAAAATTTATTAATTCCACTAATTAGTCATAATTTTATACTAAATATTTTATTGAAAATTAAAAATAGTAATGGCCGCCATGTATGGGATTCGAAAAGATAAAAAGTAGTCGCCTACCTAATGACTGAAATAATTATTTTAACTAGATGTTACGCCAAAACCCTAACCTAACCTAAATTAGTTATTGGAAATCTCTCTCCATAATTCGAGTCTTATCGCCTACTTTCCTCCTTTTATTAAATTTTGTTAATGTAATTTAGTCACGTTTCTTGATCGTGAGTTCGACAAGTGACATGCAATTGAGGGTAATATCAAGGTGACGTGTGGATGTCTAGACGGTGTGCTATCTGATAGCAAATCTGCCGGATTGTGGGTGATGTAGGTATGAACAGTACATTTCCCTGATACCGTACCGGACCAAGGTGACCAGATACAGATACTCTATATCCATGTTTATTGCGTGTTAAATTCGTGTAATACTTCGATACAAAATTCAAGTATCAATTATTTAACGTACTTCTCTAACTTCTTTTATATGTAATTTGCATATATAGAGCAATTTTATTATGTTGCAAAAATTAAAAAAAAAATGCTAAAACGATTTTTTGTATTTACTTCATATAGTTCAACTATCTCCGATATTAGAGGCAAAATCGTTTACAAATCAGTTACAATACTTGTTGTATTATTGTTATTGTATTATAATTGATACTCGAATTAGCCTATCCGTGAGGTAATGTTAATTAAAGTAATGATTGTTATGCAATATCTTCGTGATATCGGTATCGCATATCGTGTGCTGCTATTAGCGCGGTACGCACCAATCTCAAATATTTTCGTTATCTCCGCGAACCAGTTTCCACCGGCTGTCGACACACGTGAGCGTCTCATACAAGATACTAAAAAATGCAATCGATATATGTGACTTATGTGATGTATCGAGGATTATGACTTAAGGACTATCGCGGAGCGATATCAACCGGAACCGACTAACATGAATTGCTAAATACTATTTCTATACTATTTCCCCTTTTTAATGATAGGCACGGCTAAGTTCACGTGTTTATTAAATTTGCATATCTCAAATGTACAGTTGCGAAAAACCGCGGTAGTACACTTAAAAAAATTCCAAGACTTCGCCTCATACAAATAAGTAACAAAGTACAAACGATGTGATAGTAATAAAACCAATTATTCGTGTACCAACGACTTTTCTTTGTCATATAATTCGATGGAGTTTTTTGTAGCAAATTACTTACACATTAAAATCAAAAACTCACGAAAGTTTTTCTCTAAACTAGTTCAGTAGATTTTTTTAAATTTCTTGCTTGGCACACTGGATACTATCGAATTAAGGTTTAGTGCGTAGAAAACGTATAAACAACTAGCTTTTAAAGTGTACCGCCAAATTCCCTGATTGTACTTTCCGTACGCTGATGGTCGTGTATGTATTTTTATGGTAAAATCTAGGGTCGTCTGAACGAGTTGCTATGCGCTGTTCGTCTTCAGCGCAGCGCCAGCGCTGGCGCGCCGCAGGAACGCTATCATTTAGACCCAGGTAAGAACATAATCCTTTGATGAACTATTTCGAACCATATTGTAACCCGTATCTGCTATTCGATTTGAAATACAATTCCTTCCCAAGACATGGCAATCAGCCATTTTTAGTTA